GTGCTGTAACTTCTAGTGAATTGTTATTGAAACTTCATTAATCAATAGCCTTTTTTCCTTTTTTCTTTCCTATTTAATATTATGGTCCCATTTTTGTAAAAGTAATGAAAGTATTACTTTGTGCTCTTACATCTATGGATAGTCCTCTATCAGTTTTTGGTTAGATATTTTTGTAAATGTTCTTGGTATTTGGTGGTGCATTATAACAATATTCTGGAAATAAAAGGCTCCCTAACTTCTGAAAATATAGGATAGCTGCAATTCTTCAGGGATGAAATATGTACATTAAAATACTTTTTGGCTGCATATGGAAATAAGTATCTAAAAGTGCCTGAACATTTTTGCAGCTCTCCTCTGTACATCCTACATATTCATCTGAGGAAACCCCACAACACAACTCACGAGTAGGGCCCTGATGGGCTTTATACACCAAGCAGCTGGACACTGCTACACCACTGGTGAGGATAAAGTTCAAAAGCTGCATTGTAAGAAATAAAGCCTGGAAAGACAGGGAGTCGTAGCCAGAGGTGGAAGAACCACAAGGTAATGTAGTGTGAGTGGGAATTGGGTGCAGTGACTCATGTGGAAAGATTCCCAACTAATGTTTTATTGGCTTACCAGGACCTGCAAGAGGAACTATAGCTCTGTTGTCCAGTTTCCTCCTCATTCTGACTATGAGAACTACTAATATGAGCTACCATGTTCATGACATCAAACTCCTAGCGCAGACTGAAGCAATAAGCAAGACCTTTGAAAATGCAGGGCATTTCTTTCTTTAATACAACAGTTTATCAGTGCAAGAATGCTGGTTGTCATTCTGATAAAGTACTCAGCCTGTATTTGGTGCAGACCAAACAAACACGGACACAGCTTACTCCCAAGGGTAGCTTTCAAATATGGATTAGATTTTCTGAATTCTCCATGGATTTCTGAGAAGGCCATGGCAGAATTTTAGATGGAGTAATTTTTGTTTGAAGCTACCAAGACCATAGGTAGTCTCAGATGATGACTATCAATTTAATTGAATCTGAATCAGAGCCCTCAGTGAACTTTAAAAATACAGTAAAATCTGTTTATTCCATTAAGTCATAACTTAATTATTTAGGAAAGGACACAATTATCACAAAATGGAGGAATAACTTAGTTAACAGTTTGTCTGTTACAGTCATTTGAATCTAAACTGCATGGTACAGGGATTTTTGACAGGGAAGAGAAAAAGGTAAAAGAAGAACCAGTGTGATTTATAGAAAATAAAACAGGTTCACCCACTTCCTAGTTATGGTCATTAACAGTGGTATAATTGTGCATAATCATTGGTCCCATTCCTACTGTACAGTGCTAGAGGCTAAGTTAACTTTGCATCTGCATAGAAATTTAGACGCAAATATGAATTTTGTTCACTGGTATGACTAGTGTAAAGTAAACAAAGGGTATTTCTATTGTATATTTAAGGTTGAGAAACCTATTTTGTGAACAGCATGCTCTCAGCAAAGACTTCACAGTTATTAAGTAACTGCAAAGGGACATGGTCAGGTCAATGATGGGTAAGGTTAAAGGCATATATAAAGAGCACAGCAGTGTTGGGATATTGATAGGCCCCTATGGTTGTCCCCATCTGGGAAAACTGCAATAATGTTCTCTCTGTATCATGATCTCTGGGTTTTAAAACGAAACAAAAATAGTTGTGGACGTAGGGAAAGAGGATATGAATGCCAAGCAGTAATTTTAGGGTGAAGAGTACAGAAAAGTTAGAGCAAAATGGATGGTTTAAATTCTCATCATTATTCTACTGAAGAATTAAATTTGCAAGGTCATGTTGAGGCTTATTCAGTCACAGGCATATCAGTGAAGGTAACTGGATTCAGATGAGTTCCCATCCAAGAGATATTTAAAGAAGCGAGTTCCCTAACAAAACAGCGTTGTCTAGAGTCGCGTTGCATATTAAATCAAAGCTTGATTTCCATGAATCAAAGTACCTTACTTTAGACTCTTAGCAAAAAACTAACTCAAGTTCTGAGATCCACCTTCCCAGATATACTTAATGAGAGAACACTGTATTTCATTTGCTATGGCTTCCATATACTTTATTACTTTGGTTTTTTTCTAAGTTCTCTACCAATACCTGTAACAGCAGAAGTTTGCTTTATAAAATTCTCATGCCTTATTAATAGACAGTCATGGTAGAACAGACATGAAAAATACTGATTACCTGTAATCAGGCCTCTGCATTTACGGAGCATATTACATGAGGACTTTCTCTAATTCCATTATTTAAAATATAGCTGTATTTCAGGTGTGTTTGCAATCAAATGTGGGAACGAAAACTTCAGGTCATGCAAGAAAAGAAAGAAAGGGAGTGGAATTACTGTAGAAAAGTTATAGAAAAATTTTTTGAAGATCTATACTGTAAATTATTTCATGTAAATTAGTTCAATTTTCCTTATTACCATTCACATTTTTATTTTACTAGTTTTCTTGACCCCTTCACTGAATTGCAGAGAAAGATATAATTTTAGATCTTCTGAACTGCTTTAGAAATGTCTGTCAGATGGTTTTGATTGAATTTGTTGTTAACAGCTCACAGCCTTAGCTTTAGGAATCCAACTGTATTATATAAAAATGATATCTCAGATTTTTTCTTTTAGCCAAATGTCCAATTTGCAGAGTCTTAAATGATTCAGTTCCTTTTTTTTTCCCCCCAACCTATCCAGAACTGCTGATACAAGAGCAACCTGGACATGAGCAATGTGTACGCAACACCCAGATTTTTATCTTCTTTCAAAACCAAATTCAGATTAACCTTTGATGAAAGCAGAATCCAAGTAACAATGAAATAAACAGGAGAGAAAATATCCATCAGCCTTATTACTCTGTAACACCTCCTAATTTGCCCTTCTATGGCTGAAACAATGAACTTTGGCATAGTTCATGGAAAATAATATACAAATAGACATGGCAGGAAAAATGTGATTACTTCCATAAGGGGACAGAAAAGCTCTTATCTTTTGTAACCTAACACAACCTGGTGTAATTCAGCAACACAAGTCTTCGTAAACCTCAGGACTGATTATTTGGGAGACATCTGGGAAAAACTGCAGTCTCGAGCACAAACTTTCCCACCCTCGAGCACAAACTTTCCCACCCCATAAGCTTCAAGAGCTTCTTAAATTTTTATGTAGAATAGATAA